AAAAAAAAAAAAAAAAAAACACATCATAGTAAAATTAATACCTTCTCCGCTTCGCATCGAAGCTAATAATTTTTAGTTTCACCTGAATTTAATAATGGATGAAATAAAATATTTACTGTAAATAGTAATTATAAAATTTCCTGAATGCAAATTAATCTTAACAATACAATTTTTTCTATTTAATGATATCAATTTCAAACTTGCAAATTGAGCTAAAAGTTATGGTAATAAATTCATTTTTTTTTTATTATTATAATCTATCACTTTAAAGGACAAAAAAAAGTAGGTTAAAAATTATTACTTTTAACATATTAAAAATCAACAATAATTTGAAAACAATTAGTTATAAAAATTATATAATATATAAGGAAATAGAAGTTGATGTTGTTTTTGTAATTATCCACCAATTTTTTAGAATTAAACACTATCTACAAATTTGCATCGACGCGTTTCTTATGATAGTGATTTTAATCACTGTCAGGTTAAATCTATACTGGACCTAACTATGCCACGTCTCCACTGTGCTAGGTTTTTTTATTTTATAAATAATACTTAAATAAATTTTATAACTTTTTTTTATAAAAAGGAGTAGTAAAAGGAAGGTACTCTAAACCTTCCTATTATAGGATTTAGATGTTTGAACTAAATATATTGCCAAAATAATTGAATATTAAATTACGAAAAACAATGATTTTTCACACTTAAATAGCCATTTTTGTTTAACTTCATTGGTCATTTATATATAAAAGTCATATTGTTGGATAAATTTTATTTTTAATTTAAAATATGTTTCAAGTCAAAATTTTTTTAAATATTTTCAAAATTTAAGTTGTATATGTTCTACTTTTTATAAATTCGTTTCAAGTTTTGAACCGTCCTTGTAGACGAGGAGACTTAGTGATTTTTAAAAAAAAGTATATCCAATGACAAGAATATGTATGAATAATTTTACATTAAAATTTCTATAAATCCATATCGTTTTCAATAATTTGTTGGCTTATGAAATCAATTTTGTATCACAAAAATAGTAAGTTGTTTTATTACAACAGCCATTTGCATATAAAAGATAAGTCACCGGGAAAATTTTTATTTTTTTAAATCTTAGTACATAACATAAACTTTAAATTAACATGTATATAAAAGACGAAGTATCTTCAGAACATTTTCAAAAGTTAAGTTGAAAAAATTGACTTTTGTGAAAATGTTGCTATTTCCAATCACCCTTTAGGCAGGTAAATAGTCAGGTTTTCAAAAAATTTATATATAATAAAAGGAAAATACTTAAGGTTTTTATGTAAAACAATTATTTTGATTCGTTCATTTTTGAAAAAGTTATGGTAGTTTTAAGGAAAAAAAAGATAAAATGTCAAAATTTACCGATTTTAAAAATAGTAATTTTTTGGTGGGTTTCCCTCATTTGAGACAAGAAGAAAATTTTTTTTAATATTTCAGGTTTATGTCTTCAATTAGACATGATTTGTGATATTTTGACGTATTGTTATAAATTATCGGTTCGATGAGAGCTGAGAAAAATAGGCGACAGACACAAATAAAAACATCAAACCTTTTCAGCTTCGCATTGAAGTTAAGAAATTTTTATCATTTATGTAATGAGTTATTTAATAAAATAATTTACGTCACACAACTTAAATAATCCAATAATATATCATCAAAAACTATTTAAATAAAAGTAATTACTGATTCAGTTAGTAGATCAGACATGTACGCAATCAAGTAAATACAGATCCAGGTGTTTATTAAAAACATGTATGGTTGTAGTATGTCCAAAAAGCTCTCCGATATATAAGGGTGATTGGCAACGAACGCAGGTAACATGTAAATATGAAAATAAAAACGTCCCAAGTGTTCGAGGAAAATAAAAAACAAGAATGTTGTTATTTGGAATCCAAATGCTAAACGTATATTGTCTACTAAGTCACAAAGTTTTGCATGAGCCAATCGCTCCAATTCCATATTTTGGTATACAATATCTGTAATGTTTGCTTTAAAAATTTCAGCCATCTTGGTTTGCCATCGCAATTTTAACGATTGAAATCGTACACATAATTCATGGCACAAGAAGAAATACGGTATGGGGAACATCAATGTCACGCACCTTTATAATAAAGAAAGTAAGTAACTACCAGTAAACATTTCAGTTATTTTTAGAAAATTATAATTTTACATAGAACAATTATTTTCTTACTTTGATAAAATTTTCGTTAAGGTTATCATTGAAAATCCATTTATTATTACTTCAAGAACATTACATGTATGTACAATGATACTTAAAATAAAATATATTTTTAGAAAATATTTTGGTTTTTTACATGGTTGGTTATCTAGTGGTATGTACTCCAAATCAAATTTATAAATATTTTCAATAATAGAAGGAATATGTTTGTCCGAGTGTAATATTGATATCATTCTGCTGAATTCTTTTACTGTAACAAAATAAAACCAATACCGTGAATTTGGTGGTGTTGGATTTGCATTTACACTCCAGTGCATAGTGTAACAGTGAATAAAGAAGGAGATCTGCAAAAAAATAAAAGCAAAATAATTACGAATAAAACAATAAACAAGTTAATGTAAAACTATTTTTTAGTCGAACAATTGGTCCAGTACAGTGTATGCCCCACTTGAACACTAGCTTTCCTGAAAAGATATTTTTGAGACTTGTTATTCCAACAATTTTACATAAAATAAATATAGTTCTTGCATCTTTATAAATATTATTTGGCATTTTATATTGTCGTGTTTTGTAGAAGTCGTATTGTAGATATAACTCACCATGTACTATTTTTTTATTAGAATATTTGACTCATTTTTCACTATTTAGTAATAATGATTGTAGCCGTAAAATATAATTATGTAAACATCAAGACAAATTAAACTATATAAGTCAACAATAACTTGTTTTTTAATAAATCAAATAAACATCTAATGTTTGTAAACAACAGAAGTTCGTAGTTATGAATTAAGCGTGGCATGTTTAGTGATTGTTTATCTATTGAGTGTATAAAGTTATGCAAAGAATGATTTATTGAAAATATTAATTGGATGAAAATTAACTTTTTTATTTTTCAGGAAAAACATCAAATTTTAAGGATTATTTTATTTTGATAAGTGGAAATAACTGAGTTTCATCGCAATCAATTTTTAAATTGTTATAGATTTTTTTTTGTAAGAATATATATATATATAGTAATCAATTACTTACAGAATAAAAATAATTCAAACATATTTTTTTTGGTTATCTTTAATAACAGTTACTGAGTGTTTATTGTCAATTATGACTATCAATAGATATACTTTTTGTATTGCCAGTTAGTGTATTTATAATTTTACAACAATGTGCCTTACTATCATTGTTAATAAATGCTGTGCACCTGTGAATACCGACGTTAAAAAAAAAAAAAAACAATTAGCTACCTGTATTTGTAATCCCTTGTGTATTGTACATGTATATTAACTAAAAAATTTGAAACTTTAAATGTTTATATCTAATAAACGAATAATATTACATTAAAAATTCAAATGCCATTTACTATTAAATCAAAAACTCAAACATTTTATTTAATTTAAAATATGTATTCCCATTTAAAAAAACCCAGCACAGGGGGATCGTGGCACATTGGTAACGTGGCATAGTTGGATCAAGTATTATGATATCTGACAGTGATTAAAAACACTATCAAAAAAAAAAAACGCTTCGATGCAAATCTTTAGATAGTGTTTAATTTTAAAAAATTGGTGGATTATTCCAAAAGATACATAATCTGCTAGTTCCTTATTAATATCATGATTAAGATAAAGTATGTCGAATGAAAAAGGGATTATTAAAAAATAGTATTTCTTATAGAATAATTATGTTGATCCATACACTTTTCAATATGTCATAGCATTATAAAGTTAAAAATGTAAAAAATAAAATCGAGAATTTTCACACAATAATAGCATTCGGTAGCCATTTTCACCGTGAAGATAAAATAAAGTCCGAAATTTTTTTTCGCATAATAAAGTAAATTACATTAGCTTTAATTTAAGATATATAATATATATCTTAAATTATTTTATATTATAAAAGTGTCAGACTTTCCGGAACATTTTTAAAAGTGAAGTTGAAAAAATTAATTTTTTGTGAAAAAGTTGTCATTTTAAATCTCCCTTTCTGGGCAGGTAAAGGGCCAGATATAAAAAAATATATACCAAATGAAAGGTAATGATATCATACATCTATATAAAAAAAAATGATATTGATTTGGTTATTTTAAAAAAAGTTATAGCAATTTTAAGTAAAAAAAATTGAAAAAATTAGCAATTTTTAAATTTGTAATTTTTTTGGAGATTTCTCCTATTTGCGGGGAACGAGGGAAATTTTTTAAATTTTTAAGGGTAATGTCTTCAACTAGATACAATTTGTGATCTTTTGACGTATCGTTGAAAGAAATCCGTTCGGTGAGAGCTGAGAAAAAGTGATAACAGACACACAAAAAAAAAAAAAAAAAACACATCATAGTAAAACCAATACCTTCTCAGCTTCGCATCGAAGTTAAAACAAAGTTAACACCTTTACAAGGCATAAGGGATAAACTTAAAAAGCATTACATAGTTAATAATTTAAGAATAATATGTAACTAAAGATAACAAAAAAAAATGTGTTTATTATATATTATATTAATGTAAACTATAATACTTAAATTTTTTTTCAGAAAAATTCAAAATTAATAATATTTTATCGATATATAATTCTGTTACTTTTATATAAAAGTTAATATTATACAAAAATTAGTTTTTGAGATTTTTTATAATTTGTATAAGAAAAATGTTACGTCAAATTATGAAAAAGACATGTTAATGGTACCCACAAATTACGAGACAATTTTATTTGTTAGTATTCAGTGTTTTTCATTTCAATATATTGAATTATATATTATTCGATATACCAAAAATGTAGGTATTTATGGTAGCTAACAGTAGTATAGAGTTTAAATAATAATAAGTTTTGTTACTAATTTATTTAGACCATATAATACTAAAATTAATATAATAATATATATGTGCAGTCTGTAAAGCTGATATGTGACAAATTTTTAATAGATTTTTTATCACTGGTAGAGAAAAGAATGTTTTCTTTCATGTGTGAAAAATCACAAAAAGAATTAGAATTCAATGAATTTTTGGCACTTCAAAAATGTTATTTTCCATAGGACATCATTGAAAATTTTATTTATTTCTTTTGATTTTCTGAGAATTGACTACACAAATGTCAGTTTTTGAAAAATTAATATTATTATTGTGTTAATTATAAGCTAAAATAAAATAATTTATTAATATTTATTAAATGTTGGCACAAATATTAAGCATAAAAAAGTAACATGATTTTTTTGAATCGTTTATTGTGGATTTATTTGATTTAATATATATATATTATAAGCATAAATACATTTTATTTTAAAACCTAAAAAAGTTAGGTGCTATCAAAGTCTATTAAATTCTATGAATGGCGACTTAGCTGCTGTACATTAAAATTTAAACACTGGTTTCAAAAACAACATTTTATTTATAAAAAAATGTTCAACTTCTTATTCATGTTTTTGGTATAAAAATACGATTCAAAATGGGTGATATTTGTATTACTACAATGGTATATGTGGCTAATGACATTACAATCTGTAAAACAAATAAATTATAAATAAAATAAAATAAATAAACATATTAGTAAGATAATAAAAACTTAGTTTTATTCAACACATTTTAATTTAATTTAGTTAAATTTTATATTTAAGGTAACTTGATAATATTTTTCGGTAAAATAAACACCTCAGAGAAAAAACTTACAGATGTCAAAAGTGTTCTGTTAACAAGAAATAAACCAGATGCTGTTACTCTTGTTATTGATTTATGGACTTGAGACATAAAAAATTTTATCTATAAAAAGTTTTAATGTTTAACATCTTAAATTTTTTAAATAATTTGTATATTAATTCACCTGTTCTGAACTAGATTTAGATAACTTCCATAACTGAACTTTTCTTAAGTCTGTTATTATTAATTTACTCTGAAATAACAACATAATTATTTTTAATATTTTTTGTACTAAAAAAATATGTTCTAATTTTCTATCTTTGATATTTAATAACTATTTATTGTTAATGATATTTAACAATTAATTTAATAGTTATATATTTATTCTACAGACTACCATATTATATTTTTTAACTTATCCTAAAGTTGTTAACGACTCATCAAAATTTTTTGTAAAAAATATTCCTTAAAAGTTGGTTATTTTGAAATTTTTAAAACATTTATATTTAAAAAATTAATTTGTTTGTTTTCATTATTTCAAAAAAAAATATATATATGTATATATAATAATAAAATATTATTTTAACATAGTCTAAGAATGAATAAATAATTTAAAAAAAATTACAATAAAATGTTGATTGTATCTAAAGTTATAGAAATTGTCAATTAAATATGTTCCGCTCTATATATTATATGTTTGACTTTACAACTTTCTATTAAAATTTTGTCATAACCTGATCGAAAAAGTTTTTGGATATTCCGCTGCATTACGAAGCGATTACGTATAATTAAAATAATAATGTGATGTACATTAAATTATAATGTAAACATAATTCATACGATTTTATAATGTCTTTATTTATTTAAGTGTTGCTGTTATATGGCTTATATTTTTAACAAAATGTAAGTATCAAAAAAAATTTTTTAATTTAATGCATTGGAAAATTTATTTAGTTTCTCTGTTTTCTTATTAATAATTCTATACATTATACAGAAAGTGTGACTCATGTTAGTATAAAAAAAGCTATAAACTTAACTGATTTAGTAAGTGAGTCTGACATATTTGCTATAAAGTATGTACCAGTCCAAGTGTGCGCTAAAAATAAGTATGGTTCAAGTTCTTTTAAAAAGTTAGAAGAAATATGTGGATGAGAAGCAAGAAATGCTGGCCTAACAAAAATATGAAAATAAAATCTATTTAAGTGATCAAAAAACACAAAAAATAAATATATTATTATTCTAGGTCCAAATGCAATGCAGATATCATTAACAATATCACAAAGTTTTGCATGAGCTAATCGCTCAAACTCCACGGTATGACTCGACAACATTTTTGGTTGTATTTCTATAATTTTAGTTATCTCATATTGCCATCGCCTTCTTAATGATTGAAACCGTTTACATATTTCATCACAGAAGAAGAGATACATTAAGGGAAATATTGATGTTGAATATCTATAAAATAATATTAGACTTTCAATATAGTTGAACTACAAAGCTTCATTTTAGTTTATAAAATATTAAAAAATACCTGTTGATTGATTCTCCAACATTTTCGAACGAAAACCCACTAGCACAAATATCTAATATGATGAAGGATAATAATCCTAATGTTAGTGTTACATAGGCTACCATAAAATATCTCGTGCTTCTACAGTATTTTAAAGGACGGCCGTGTGTCATATCAAATCTATAAATATTGGCTAAAATGCCTGGTGATTGTAAATCTGAGTATAATGTTGTCAAGTAGTTGCAAGATTCCCTTAATGAATTATCAGAAAACCAAAACCATAAAGTTTGTTGGTTAGTTGCTTGAGCATTTAAGAACAGGATCATAATTTGTGTTCCTAGAAACACCTGTACTTAAATTATTATTTATAAATATTTTTATATACTTTGAGTATAGAATTTAAAGGTTCTCATACTATTTTAAAGGATGATATTTTTAATTGACTCATTTATTATTATTTCTAAAATCTTTTAACCTAACATGTTAATAACATCAATTATTTAGATTGATTTATTATTGTATTAACAATATTAAAAATTTTTAAGCATAGGAATCATTAGTTCTTAAAAACGCATTATTTCAATTTTATTTTATTTTTTGTTAAAAATAGTTACTATAATTTAAAGATCGAAATTGTGAACATCTTTAATTAGTTATCACATTATCGAATATTTTAATAAATTTGAAAACATTGAAACTAATTTTAACTGAAAATGTATTTAGTTAAACATTCCAATTAAAATGTACATACAATTAAAAAATTCTGTATTGTAACTTGCATTTTTTTAAATATCAATTAATTTTTTCTTTATCTATAATATAACAAACTTAAATAATACAGAGTGAAGACAGGGTATAGACATTATTTTCTCAGAATGTATTAAACATTTTTTAACTAGGTTTCATCTAGCTGGGTCTCCTCTTTAGACCCTGTGCTCTACGGGCCTAACGCGGTATGGCTCATTACGGACTCATTAGGTTAGCCACTGATTCCAGTAGGAGTACTTGGCTACTTGCGGACATGATATGTGTTGCGCAAAAAAAGTATAATTCCAGAAGTAGTTTACCAAAAAATGAGTTCTACTTGCATATTAAATAATAATATAACTACAAAATAATTAGGTGTGTATTCTCAATTATACTTCATAATAACCTATTAATTGTTATTTGAAAACAACAATTCGGCAGAGAGATTTAAAAACAATTTTTAAATATCGTATTATTAGTGAAAACTGCATAAACTAAAATAAAATGTAAACAAAAATGACTTGCGCAAATAAAAATCATATTTTACTAAAAATTTTGTGCGTAGACTTAAAAAACTCATAACTTGGTCATAATTCAACAAATTTTTTAAGATACCTTTAAAATGTCTCTGGGCAAGCCCGATAAAAATGTCATCGAAAAATGCTGGCGGCAATAAGCGATATAATTTTTAAACCCTGATGGTGTGCTAAAAATTTTTTTCTCATCTTCGCAAATTAATTTTCTTAGAATAATGTCTTTCATTTAAATAAAATAATTTTGAAAATTGTTAAGTAATTTTTCCAACATTGGCTAATTTTTCAATGTATTATTATACAGAATGTTCAGTAAGTAAGGAAACAGACCAATTGTTATAAACAATGAGAACAATAGAAATCTGTGTCCTTATTTACTGAACAGCCTATATAATAAGATTTTTTTAAAGGAAAATATCGATGGATTAAAAAAACTCTTCAATAATATGTAATTAAATAATTTTTTTCAACTCTTTAGAAATAAAAAACCTAAACTTCAATTTTCTTTAATGATATTTTTTTAGTTTAATGATATGCCAGAAAAAATAATTCCAAACGATTTTGTTTTCATATTTTTTTTTTGTTCGACCAAACATTAGTGTCGTGAAATTCTTTAAAGATTTGGATTTAAAATATAAATTGTCGTTTAATCTGCAATAGAACGTATCACAGTTTTTGCATGTCTCCAAAAACAATTTTAATTATACATGTTTAAATGCGAAGTATAATTTTACTTTTATATCATACAATGAAACTACAAATTTGACATAAAAAATATATATAATTAAAAATGTTCAGAAACACTTTTTGAATCATTTTTGATAAAAATTTCATTTTTATGAAGGATTGTGTCTAGCACACGATTGTGAAGAGATATAGACTCTTAAGATAGCACTCTCTCACTTTAGCAAAGGGACTTATCATAAATTATATATTGCAATAATTTAGACCCATTGTTTAAATGTTTATTTAAGTGTAATAAATCCTTACAACTGATTTTTATATTATCTACGGACAGCATGAAGAAATGACGACTTATGTATGCTGAACAATGGACAATTGGTTCTTTAAGTAAAAAATATTTTAAGAACAAAATTGCTTGAATTGTTTTTCTATCATATCGTCATAATTAAAATATTAAAGAAAATTATAATTTAAGTTTTTTATTCTTTAATGTATACAAATAAAATTATTTAATTACGTTTAATTATAGAATGTTTTAATTAAACGATTATTTTCTTTATGAAAATTAAAACTTTTTTAACATTCCAAGAATATGAGTCTTTTATCCTTAATAAATTACTCTGTATATGATACAATTACATACGAGTGGCCATAAACAATCAACACCCCATTCAAATTGAATTTTTCCGAAAAATACGTTTTTAATACTGGTTTTTCCAAAGATTTTGCATACTATCAAAAGTGGCCGCACATCTCTATAAATATTCTTCACTGATGTTTGTACCATTTGTCCAAAACTACAAATTTATAATTTTCATCTAATTTAAGAAAAATTTTTCAGTACAAAAATGGAGATTATAAAATTTATGGAAAAACATTAATGCATATTAACATGAGCACGAATGTAGACATAATAAATATATAATAAATAAAACTAATAATTTCATGTAAAGAACTATTTAATAGAAGAACCTAAAATATTTACCAATTCAAAAATATATGAAAGATATAGTTGTCATATTTGTTATTGTTAATAATACATAAGTGGTTTTATTGAATTCAAATATTGCTACAATTTGTATAAGTTTTATATTTTTGAGGTATTATTATTGGTTGTACAATTCATATTTAAATGAAGTTATAGTAATTTTTAATATATACAAATAGTTTAATGGTTTATTTTTTAACATGCATCATTCTTTAATAAAAAAACTCAATTTGTATTCTATTTATATAGCAAACTGAATTTCAACTGTAAACATTTTTTACTTTGTAAAATAAGAACAATATAATTTTTTTTTTGAAATCAAAACAAATGTAAATATTCTAATTAATTAAAGACAATTTTAATATGAAAACTAAAGCGTGCAAAATGTATTCTAATAAGACTAACTCAGCATGTTGTATTAGTGAATTTAACACAGCCGTTTACTGTAAAATTAAGTCAGAGCTAGTATTCGAGACTTAAAAAAACATTTTTGAAACCAAAACACTTTGAAAATCCAAAACCCATCCTAAACTATAAAAAAAAAAAATGTTAGAAACCGTGATCTTAATCAAAACTATAATTTCAGTACAATTTTTATTTTGATATTTGAGTTTTCGAAATATGTATCTTTATTAATCGATTTTATTTTTACTAATTGTTGTTATTATTTTGAAGTGTATTTATATCTTTTGTTCAATGTTTAGTTATAATTTAAGTGATAGAAAATTATTAAAACTCAAAAAGTTAATGAGTATTTTGTTTTAAAAAATACGTATGTAAATATGTATTAATGTTTTTTTGTCAAAAAAATATGATGGTATGTCCCTGTTGCTGTATACTCCATGGTACAACAATACACACACACAGCGTGCAGTAGGGCATTAATGGTAGAGAAACACAGACTTTCAAAGAAAAAACACTGTATTATAATAAATTTCATATTCTGTTTACTTAAAGCTAGGTTAATGTATTTTGGAATATTTATAGATTTATCACGGGAATTAATTTTGCTATTGTTTGTTTTTAAATAATGTTTTGAAAGAATTTATTTTGATATCTATATACTACACTGCCAATACTTATAAAAGAAATAATTTCGCCTTTTAGAATGGAATATAGTATGTTGCTGGATTATTGACAATAGTTAAACACGTCTTAATAATATTAACCACAAGTCATTAATAATTTGTATGTTTGTAACTTAAGCGTAATGTAGAAAGAAAAGCTGAGCCAAACCAAAAAAAATGTATACAATTACCTTAAAATATTGGAGTAGGAGAAAATGAAATTTTATTCCCGTAATGTTTCAAAACCCACACTACGCTTAAGAGGTTAAATATAAATTGTTGGTGAAAAAAAAAATAACTTTTATTTTTGCTGGGAGGGGTAGTCAAAATTTTTCTTATTGAAGTTCTCTCAAGGACAAATATCTCTACAGACATGCTTTACTGACAGATGTTCTTTAGAGAAATTAAAAAATTGCGTTTTTCGTTATGAGGCGAAATTCAGATTTTTAGAGTAAACACTAAATGAAGTCTTTGAATATAAGCTAGAAGTATACTTAACTATACATATTAATTACCTATCATATAAATTAATTGTTTAATTAAAAATAAATACGTGCATGAGTCTCGAAATTCTTTTTTGATACAATAGTTAGAAAAACATACGTTTGGAGTGTGGAATTATATGGAAGCGAGACGTGGACAATTAATTAAAAAATAAAAAAATATGCCAGAAGCTCTGAAGATGTAGCGTAGGAGAAAATGCAGAAAATAATCTGGATTGAGAAGATCAAATGAAGTCATCTTGTGGATAATAAATGAAAAACGAACATTGATAGACACTATAAAGAGAAGTAGATGAATTTCATAATTTAATAATTGAATGACGAAAAACATTAGCCAAGTATACAGTATACAGGAGTCACTTCCAAAAGAAGGCTCAAGAATATGACGAATAACAGAGAAAAAAAAAGTATTTATTGTCGAAAATTTTGTTAAAAATCAATTTTCGGAATGATAAACAAAAAAAGTTGAAAAAATGAATTGTACATATTTGGCATCTTAAATATTTATCTCTATTACAATACTAAAATAACGCAAAAACCACAATATGAGTAAAATTATACTTAAATTTCAAAATATGCAACAAGTAATTTTGTATTTAGCTTATTGAATATCTGAAAAAAAAATTATAACTTACATATGAATCTCTAAAACATTTTAAAAACTATGTAAATTCTAGAAGTTATGAGCCATAGTAATGACATAGTCCTAACATGTATTATTGTCGAAAAAAAAAACATTAAAACAGATCGTATTTTCAATAATAAATTTCTCATTAAGCTTTCGAGTTTAAATTATTTTCTATCACTTAAATGATAACTAAACATTTCAGAATAATAACAATAAGTATATATACAATTAATTAATAGAGATATATTTTTCAAAAACTCAAATACCAAAATAAACCGAAATAAAAATAATTTTGAAATTTCAGTTTCTGTTAAGGTTGCAGATCTTAAAGTATTATTTTTTAGGTTTCATATGAGTTTAGAAATTTGAAATTTTAAAGGGTTTCAAAAAATATTTTTTTGGGTTTCGATTCCTAGCCCTTGTTAAATATTTTGAAATATTTTTGTTATCAAATTAACACACTTTTTCAGTTTTATTATATAAAGAGTACTATAAGTCCAAAACTTAAAGTTTTTATTTTACAGAGTGTTCTATAAGTATACAATCTTGTGATTTTTAATGTTCAGAGTGATTCAAAAGTGCAAACATACATACATAAGTACGTTACATTTTTCATGAAAATTATTATTGTTTTAATTACAAACGCTCATTCAAAACTCATTTATAATTGACATAGTCAAAATTCATACTTTTACTTAATGTAAAATATTCTTTACTGTTAACATTTTCTTACTTAAATTGACTAACTTTTGATATAAAAATATAAATGTTAAAATATTCACAATATTACAAAATTTTAAAGATGTGCTATCAATTTTTTTCATGAAATTTACTCTAAAAAATGGCTATTTTTAAATATTTTATTAAATTTTTTGCATATACATATATTTAAAAATATTATTTTTTTTAACAAATTAAAAATTATATTATCTGATGATATTTTCATAGTCCTAAAGTATAATAATAATAAAAAAAAACTAAATATTTTGTAGATCAAATGTTCTTGTGGCTTGAAACTCTACATTCATAAAGTTTATTTTAGTTTAAAATTTATACAGAGTATATTAATTATAAATATTTAGTTAAATATATATTGTAACTAACAATAGCTAAAAAATAAAAATATTTTTTTTAATAAAACTTAAGTGGCTAATGTGAAAATAATTATCCTGTTTACTCATGTTACTTTTTCTAATAATGAATTTTAATTGGAATTAAGTTTTGTAGGACGTAGATGGGATTATGATGCTTTAAATTGGGTGTTTCAGAAGTGGTCTAAACAAATTTTATTAATTTGTAATGTATAAAGTTTTGAGCTCAGGTCAATACATCAAAATACTGATATGTTTATCAAAACATACTTTATCAATACTTTGTATGCATTTTTATTTATCAGCTATTAAATACTTTTTGCATTATCCCTTATAATGTATAAGAGTGTTAACTCTATTTTTTTTAAATGGCAACATACATATTTAAATATCTTATAAAATAATAAATTATTTAATTAAAGAAACGACGGGTGGATAAGAACTTTTATACTTGGATTTCAGAAGTTATTACGGTATTAAAATATAGATTGTGGAGATGCATGGATATGACTATTTATATTATAAAACAAATCTCGGTCGCATACTTCCTTTTACTCATGTATAATGATGTTAATAAATTTCTTAGAACTGGTCCAAAAGTTGTTATCGACCCGTCATGTTCATAGTTCATTTACTATGAGCTAGTTAATTATGTATTTTGCCATTTAAATAAATAAATATGACACCACTATAAGTTATAAGGGATGATGTTAAAAAGTAGTTGATAGCTGATAAATTAAGAAATATGTGTAATTTAAAAGAGTATTTTTTTTTTTTAGTTATTGAGCGGCTTATGATGAACGGATTACACTGTAATATTAATGTCAAGTCTCATTGACAATGATCGTATAAAAAAAGCTAAATTTTAATATTTAACAGTCATCATAATTATTAAGATATTTAGTAAAACTACTTATTACAGAAATTCGTGGACTCGTGATTAATTTAATTTTATTCTTTAATAAAAATATGACCCAAATCAGGTGATAATTGTATCACAACAATAATGTATGTCGCCAGAGACATGACTATCTACAAGAAAAATAAGTCCATAGATTAAAACATTTTGCTATAGATATTCATTTATATAATTTATTAAATTTATTAATGATGTATTAATAAGTATTGTTTAAAGAAGGAAAATATTTGAAAAAATTAATAGTGTGATCAATTTAAGTGTTATAAGACTGTTCATTTGTTGACTATCTTTGTTATTATAGTAACAAAGATAGTCAATAAATGAACAGTATTTTATTTTTTAAATATTTTTCATAAAATAAATTTTGGTAAAAAATGAAAACTTACTGATGATAATAGTGTTTTGTTTAACACAAATAGACCAGACGCAGTCATTTCTGTATTAGAGTTTTGCACTTGTGATATAAAAAAACAAACCTGCAAAAATAATAATAGTAAAATTAAATACTTTAGGTAGTAAAAATAAAATTGTGTTTTAAAAAAATAAAATAATTATTTAAAATTTAAATAAAATTAAAAAATGAATCGTTTTTTACCTGTTCAGAACAAGATTTTGGTAATTTCCACAGTGGTATACTTCTAAGGTCTATCATGATTGACTTACTCTAAAATGAATAAAAACAATTCTATATTTGATAAAAATAAAAAATTCTTCCTTGTTAGTTCACAAATTTATTTGTGTATAATTTAATTATTATATCACAAACATCATCTATATAAAGGTAAATTTTGTTGTAATATTTTGAATTTTATCTGCTATCTGAATAAAATGGAATGAATTAAATAAAGTTGAATATTTTTTTAGTCAGGAACGAAAAAAAATTGAAATTTTTAATCAAAAGTAATTAAACAAAAAATAATCAAATATTAAAAAATGTTGATAAAATTCATTTTTCATTAATTTTTTTATTTTTTCTTCATATATACACTACATAATTACTGTCAGGTTCATTCAACCTGTGTTAGTAGATAGTTAGTATACTTCAAATGTACTTACTGATTCAGTTAGTAAGTCAGACATATATGCGATCAGATAAGTGCCAGTCCAAGTATGCGCTATAAATAAATAAGGATCCAAATCTTTTGTTATTATAGATTTGACATTTGGATGAGAATTTTCAAACGCAGTTTTAACATAAGCTATAAAATAAAAGCGAGCCAAATGATCGATGAATACAAACAATAAGTATGTAGTAATTCGCGGTCCAAAAGTAGTACGGATATCATCAACAATGTCGCAAAGTTTTGCATGTGCTAATCGCTCCGACTCCAAGACTTGACATGTAATAGCTCTGCGATCTACTTCAATAATCTGTACTATTTCAGATTGCCATCGAATTTGTAATGATCGAAAACGTTTACATATTTCATCACATAAAAATAAATACAACAAAGGAAATATTGATGTCGAGTACCTAGTGACACAATGAAACATTTTTATTTTTATTAAAAATGTTGAAAATATTTTAATTTATTACCTGTTCATGGATTCAGTGATATCTCTTATAGATAATCCAAATGTAAATATATCAATTACAACGGCAGTAAGAATTAACAGTGTTAATAGTACATAAGCAATAAAAAAATATCTCGGACCAATTTTACGGTTAAGTGGACGACCGTGCTCCATGTCAAAAGTATATATATTGGCTATAATGTTTGGTGTTCTTATATCTGCATATAGAGTACTTAACAAACGACTTAATTCTCGAAAAGTGTTGTCACAAGACCAAAACCATGTTAAAGCAGAGTTATTTTTCGTTAAAGTCCAAATTGCCATATTTAGGTTTATTCCGAATAAGAACTATAAAAAAATTAAAAAAATTTAGTATAGCTTAAATAATCCGTTTTACTTTAACATGAAATTATATTTTATATTTTTAATTGAGTACTCACAAAAGGCCATATACAGTGAATGCCCCATTCAAACTTAAGTTTGCCATAAGATGCAATGTTGAGATTAGTCTTGCCAAAAATTTTGGACATAATTAAAAGGGGTTTTATGTCATCGTATATGCTATTAACTCTCATTAATTTGTGTTATTTACTTTGAGCTATTTCGTTGATATTTTAGAATAAAATTATTACAAAAGTGTTATCTAATAATATAAAAACAATTACTGCTTTGAAGGTAGTTTATTTTAAATGTTAGGATTATAGATTCGATTGTAATTAAAATCAATATTTATATGCTATTCAAAATATTTGGAAATAAATAATATTGAAAGATTTTTTTTTATTATTTAAAAAGGAAAATATATACACGTTTTGATAAGTTTTAACAAAATAATTTGATTAGAAAATAAAAACTATATTATTGTAAAAAATGAAAAGTTTGTCTACTTACAGTTGTTAATTTATAAATTTAGTAAGTTTTTTTTTTGTAGAAAAATAAACTTATAACAGTATTATTTGCCAAGAAAAGAATAGTTTTAATATTAGTATTATTATATTAGTAGAATAGCTTTGTACAAATACAAGTTCTTTTCTACTTTTAAATTAAATTTCATTCATGAAATCTATTGATACTTATAAAAATGTAATTTCTTATGTCTACAATCTTATGGAATTAGGGTTTTATTTAGGTCATTTTATAAACCATTCGATTCTAATAAACCACTTCGAAAAATTATTATCATATATTATAGTAGTATAAAATGTATTTTAAAAATAAATTGAGTTTACATTTTGATATTTACGAGTTTATATACTGAAAGTAGAAGTCAAATGATTTTTCAGTTTTTATTATGTATATATTTTAGATACACTATTAATAATTGTATTATAAAAATAGAATTTAAATGACTAAATTACATAACGAATTAAAATCTGAATTCACAAAATCATTGCGAATAATTGTGCTCATATCTAAATTGTCTGGATTATTTAATTTTTCTTATTGCTTTAATTCAAATAATACTGTGACACAAAAAGTTGGGGCATCACACTTATTTGGCGATATTATTCAGTTGGGGTTTTATGTATTAATGTCATTTGTCGTGCTCACATCACCAACTTATGTTTATATATTTCGTTATGATATAATTCGTTATTGGATAATTCTTATAACTACTAGGGGCTCAGCAAAATGGATGATAAAGCAAGTATAAATCGAGTATTTTTCCTTAATAATCTGTTTTTTATTCACTCGTTTTTTTACAGGTTAATCAATGAATTACTTAAATATGACAGAAAATTTTCCAGTCTTCCTAGAACCATTCAATTACGAGCACCAAGCATAAATTTTTGGTCAAAAGTCGTAATTTTATATTGTGTTTACTTTTGGGCGATTCATTTTGCTATAATACCTAGCACTTTAAAAAAAATTGAGTTGGTTCAATTGTTCGTTGGAACAACTTTTGGTGTGCCACGGTTGGTGGACTTTGCAGTACTAACTACGACATGTTTTTTCTTGGGAAATTTCGGATGTCGATTCCGTGCATTAAATGAATTTTGGAAATCATTAATAGTATCATTTGAGATATTACCTGAATATTGGACCAATGAAGATATTGTGATGATAATTGAATGCTGCAGACTATTACATGCTGATCTTTGTACGATGCTCCGGATGTTTAGTCTTGCCTATGGACCTGTTTTGCTTGTATCTTTTTTATTTTTCATAGTTGATATTGTTCATCATTTTTTCATAATAGGATATATTGATGACCCATATTTATCAATTATGCCAGCAGTTATTTCAATTTTACAATTTATATTCTACATTTCAGTAATTCTTACACTTGGTTCATGGTCTCGCTATCAGGTAATAAAAATAAAATCAAATCAAATTAATAAGTTATTTTTATTTTTTAGCTACACATAAATAATGAAATACATTTAAAAAATGGAAAGTTTCAAAGTTTTAATTTTTATTATTAATTGACTGATTTTGATAATAAGCAGAAGCGTTATTTGAGGGCGAGCAGTCCCCTGTTCTAATATTTTTTTCTTCTTCTTCTACTGGCATTCCTACTCTCTAAGAGTTTTTTCCGCCATTACTACGCTTCGCCACCTATCTCTATCTTGGGCTGTCTCTCTCCAGTCTTCAACTCCAAGGATTCTTAAATCTTCTTCTACCACGTCGATCCATTTTTTCTTCGGCCTCCCTCTAGGTCTTTTCCCTTGTGGTTTCCATTCCAATGCTACCCTGGCTATCTCGTTCTCTCTTCTTCTCGCTATGTGTCCTAACCATTGTATTCTTTGGCCCTTAATAAAACTTGTTACCGGTAATATTTTTTTCTGATTAATTTTATAAAAAACATAATTAGTATTAAATTTGTAACAAATTTAATACTAATAATAATAAAAGATTATAATACTTACTCAAAGTTTAATGTTTTAGAAAAATATGATAATCTTAAACATACGTTCAACACAAGTTGCTAATTTACCAGAAAACGTTTTTGAGCAGGTAATAAATAAATAAATATTTGAAATTTATCAGAATTTTCTTTGATAATTTATATTCATATTTGATGTAAAAACAGATATTACTATTTTTCGTACTGCCACGTGAGGTAGAAAATGAAGTTTTGGAAGTTAAGAATAAAATTTTCCAAAACAAAGTTAAACATTATTCAAATAAAGTCTAAAAAATTAAAACTAATTCCTATTTTATTACAATTACATATGACGATTTTTCATTATTATAATTTTCTTTAACTATGCCACACGAATATTTTCAAAAATATTAGAGTTAATCGTTATTTTATTTTTTTAACAATAATAAATCTTTGTTGAGCTGCTTATACGAAAATGATTTATTGTTGAGATACTTTTTATGTAAAACTTTTTTTCTACTATCACCCCTTTAACCCTACTGTTTTTTAACACGCTTATATTAGTTCACCGGTATGTATGTATGTTTGTAACTCTCCACGCGCCACGTGTTATGCCGTCGTCTATGGCCTTGAGACTAGACTATATTTATACATATATATATATATATATATAATATATACATTTAGTATATGTGCATTGACATATTTGTTACCTAAATATTACGACAATTTAAATCCAATATTTTAAATATAAAACAAATGAAAGAGAAAATTTTAGTTTTAATTTTTACATTAAAAAAAATTATAGGTATTATTCTTTATGGAACAAGTTTCAAGTTATGAATATTATGAGTTATCAGCATTTGGCGTCTTCGATTATGATTTAACATTGATATCATGGGTACGAAGTTTTTTTTATAAAATAATCGTTTTACTATGTCTTATACTATATTTTCTAAAGTATTAAGAGAAATAAAAACATACTGCTAAAAAAATATACTAAAAATATACATGTCTTACTAGGTTAATATTAACATTTTTTAATGGTAAAAATCGAGTATCTTAACACGACTTAGTAAGCTGAAGTAAGCTTCTCGAGTAGAGAGCCTCAAAAAACACAAGTTATGACGCCATTTCTGTTGTAATATTACAATTTTCTTTAACTTGGGGGGAGGATGAGTACAGCCGGAAAATAACTAGTGATCAAAATAACGACACCTGCGTCTGACTTCAAGTCTACACTTTAAAGTGTTAATAACTTCTGAAATACTATTTTCCAAAAGTTAATATCGACCAGTTATTTTCTTATTAGATTATTTATTTAATAAATTAGTTAATTATGTATGTTGCTATTTGAAAAAAATAAAGTTGATAATAAAATGTGGGTATGATATCATACTCATATAAGGTATGGTAGAATAGACCATATACTTCATGAGTGATAAACTGAAAGAAAACATGTACCTAAAAGAATCCAAATAAAAAATTATCAATTTTTTTTTAGTTTTTAAATTACTTGCGTGGTTTATGATGAATAAATCACTCTGTATTATTTCAGCTTAATTTATATTTATACTTTTTTATGTTAATATAATCTAAAATGTATTAATATAATTATGGTTATTGGTTTTGTTCCAATCATAATATATTACATTATACATACATATATGATTGTAATAAATGGAAATATTATGTAGTGATTTTGATATNTATATATATATGTATACATATATATGTGGGACGGTGTGGCCGAGTCGGTAACGCGTGTCTCAGGTTCAAAACTCGGTCACGGGCGGCTTCATTTACCGAACGAGAGATCAGTTCGGTAATTTGGAGTCGCCATCCCACCTCCGGCGACGGACTAACCACCCGTCCCAGAGTATAAATGGTTAAGAAACCTCCTCCTTTGGGGAGGCCGCTGTGGCCCTTAATGGGCTAATAAAANATGTATTAATATAATTATGGTTATTGGTTTTGTTCCAATCATAATATATTACATTATACATACATATATGATTGTAATAAATGGAAATATTATGTAGTGATTTTGATATTACAACTTAAAAAACTAAGATTATTAACTTTATAGATTACAGTTTTTGTGTTTAAATGTGTCATAACCAAGGTTCAGATGGATGAAAACTCATCATTTAATAATTTGGTAAATGTTACATTTCCCGGTTTAGTAAATAATACTGAAGATATATAATAAATAATTTAACGTTTAACAATAAAATAAGCACGTTAGATATTATAAAATTGTAAATAATTACTAATAATTAATATCTAGTTTAGTGTACATATGAATAAAGTCAAAAAGAAATGTAGTTAATTTTTAAAGATTCGATTTAAATCAGGTGACAATTGTATTATGACAATAATGTACGTAGCCAAAGATATGGTCATCTGAAACAGAAACATTGTTATTTTTTTTTTTAAGTTTGATAAATTTTATATTACTAACAGGAGTTAAAATCTTTTAGACCGGTTCAAAAAAATGTCTGTAAAAAAAAAAAATAAAAAACTGAGAACCCAATAGAAAACTCATATTATTAATTTTAAAGAACCATTTCAAGTACCGGAACATTATGAAAAACTGGCTCTTTTAAAGATTTTTAAAACAATTTATAAACTATGTCACCATGTAAGATTATTAAGAGAGAGAGGTATAAAAAAATTCAGCTAAAATATTTTTTTAAATATATTTAACATGAAAATTATTTGAATTAATGAATATTTATTGAAAATTTGTGATGGAAAATAATTATACTTTTCTTAGTTCGTTCGATAACAAAAATTTACTAATAAGTAACTAATTTAGTATACAAAATATTTAAATTTAAAATTACTAAAAGTTCCATGATATCATAAATTGTTACCAACTAATATACTGCATTAGTCTAATATTCATAAACTTTATAATACTACAGATAATTTACTACTGCACATTAATAAGATGTGTTTCACCAAATTTGTTGTTAATATTTATTCTACAAAATGGCTATTTCTAAGTTTTTTTTTACATTTTTGTTAAATTTTAATTTTTTTACTTTTTTTAATAAATTAAAAAATATGGTCTGTTGTGTTACTTGTTTAGTTCTAAAGTGTAAAAAAATTTTTAAATGGAAATAAACGTAAAATATTAATTGGATCAAAAGTTATTAAATTTGTCATATCTTCGTGAATCACTCTGTATGTATTCATGTTTATCAATTTAAATAGTACTATTTAATAAAATAATTTTGTTTTATAAAAAAAGAATTGCTCTGTGTAATAGTTTTCAATTTTGGTTACAGTTATTAAAAGATCTAGTTGTTTGAGGTTTAATTTCATAATTTTTATTATCCAAAGAAGTAAAAGTGGACGAATATATTATAGTCATCTTTCAGTACATCAATTCATAAATTTTATATCATCGTAAGGATATAATAAAAAATAATAAAATAATTATTATTTTTTTATGTATTACATAATACAAATTTTAGCTTCAATATAATTCTGAGAAGGTGTTATTCTCATGTTACTTAACAATGTATCAAAAGATAATGTGAAAGAAACATAACATTTTTAGCAACTTTATGTTAAATAAACCAATACGATTCCCTGTTTTTCCAAAAATTTGATGAATATAAATTAAGATGATTCCTGTACCGTCGATTTAATTTTTTGACTTGAAATTTCACTTGAATTATGCAAAAAAAGATGATTTTTTAAACAATTTAAGTATTGCATGATATATAATGGACTTTAATTTATGTCAATATTATGAAAATACTTACTGTTGAAAAAATAGATTTGTTGACAGTAAATAGGCCACAAGCCGATATTTCAGTTTTTAAATTTTGTACTTGGTACATAAAAAAGACCACCTAAAATTAAAAAAATTAAATTAAATTTTTGGAAATTGAAAAATATACGTATTTTCATTGTTTTATTAATTGCGTATTCAAAATCTATTATTTAAATTATAATTTTTTCAATTTCATAATTACAGAATGATAAAAGACAAAACCCCAAATTACCGCCTTGAGACAGTAGACAAAAGTGAAAACTTCTACTAATAAACATTGATTATTACTTTAAATTAAACTTAAAAACGGCAGACTTTAGTGAGACGATGTATAATAAATAAACATAATAGATTTATTCTAAAATTAGTTTTTTATTAATTTTTCATTTTTAACACTCCTATATTAGTTTCACCTGTATGTATGTATGTATGTATGTATGTATGTATGTATGTATGTAGGTATGTATGTTTGTATGTATGTTTGTAACTCTCCAAACGCCACGCGTTATCGCGTATCCCGTCGTCTACGGCCTTGAGACTAGACTGTCGTAACGCATTCACCCCTCCACACGCCACGTTCATCACACGACGGCACACTATTCCTATAAAAATTTATTTTTAGTTATCGTACCCGTACACGCGTGCTTGTCATCAATATTATATATATATAAACAAATTTTTATTTTGACTGACCAATACCGCCCGCGTCTAATGTGCCTTACGTATATATATTTATATATTCCTACCGCCGTTTATAACTCAGGTATAACGTTAGTCCGACCCGCCCGCCCACAAAACACTGCTATACTTAGTGTATGATACGTTTACGTACTTAAGTCGCATTATTTGTATATATATATGTATATTCTAATTACTATTAAAATTTATATATTAACACGATTTTTCTAATTAAGAGATATAAAGTATTCCGATTACGAGGGATAATTTCCGTATCGTCATTTTTCGTCACTACCTCCACGTTCCGGAAGTGAGTAATTTACGCGCCTGCTGCATTCCTTGTATGTGGTAGTCGTTTCTCAGAATCCCTCCCCGGAATCGAACCCTGCAGTCCCGTTACCCGTTACAACGTTGATATTGATAGTAACTACTATCATAACATGAAACTAAAAAGTTAAAAATAATTTTTAGTTCGCTGTGCTTTAAAAGCGTGTTTTTTTAGTTTTTTTAAACTATATTTATTTCATGTTACACTCCCTCAACAGTTGCATTTTATTCATTATTAGCTTCGATGCAAAGCTGAGAAGGTATTAATTTTAGTAAGATGTGTTTTTTTTGTGTCTGTATACGCACAATCTCAGCTCTCGCTGAACCGATTTTGATGAAAAATATGTCAAAAGATCACAAATCGTATCTGGTTGAAGACATTACCCTCAAAATTTGAAAAAAAAAACCCTCGTTTCCTGTAAACGGGGGAAATCCCCCAAAAAATTATAAATTAAAAAATCACTAATTTTAGATATTTTTTCAATTTTATTTACTTAAAATTGCCATAACTCTTTTAAAAATTACCGAATAATAAAATTTTTTTTTTTATAGATACCTTAGATATTCCTCTATAATTTTATATATTTTTGTTAACATTTGACCCTTGACAGCCCACAGGAGGGGGTTTCAAAATGGTAACTTTTTTACAAAAGATTAACTTTTGAAAATGTTCCGGAAAGACTGACACTTTTATATATATCTTAAATTAAAGCTTATGTAATTTACGTTAATTTGAAAAAAAAATAATTTGACCTCTGGATTTGTCTTTATGGTGAAAATGACTACCGTATTCAAAAATATGCTATTTTTGTGTGTAAAATTCTGGGTTTTGTATTTTATTTTATTTTAAAATACCTGACAAGGGGAGTACAGATTTTCATAAATATTATATAAATAAAACATTAATATAGCATAGAAAGTTAAACTTATTTAAATTTGTTTGCTTCTTTTAGGAAAAATAACTTTGAAATTTGAACTAGCTTAAATAGCTAACTTTTTCAGCCGACGGTAGCGACATACGGTGTCCGAGTTGGTAAAATTTTTATTTNGTACAGATGCCGAGTTGGTAAAATTAGTGTTTTACAAGCTTGGGGTACGAGGTTCCAACCCGCGTGTGACAATGAATTTTTTCTTAATTATTTTTAAGTTAGAATAAATCTTCAACTGCTTTGATTTTTATCTCATTTAGATTCAATAACTTCAATATAGATCAAGGATCCCATCACTGTAGTCGCCACTCGCGAGAAGAAATTTTTTATTCATATTAAAATTATTTTACTATATTTTAAGTTTTAGCTTCGATGCAAAGCTGAGAAGATATTTTTTTGTGACTATCATTTATTTTCTCTGCTCTAACTTGACCTACTTTTTTCAACGATACGTCAAATGACTACAATTTGTATCTAGTTGAAGATATTATCCTCAAAAATTGAAAAAAAATTTTGATTTATCAATTAAACAGTTAGTTATTCCATGTTCTCCATAAAGACAATTAAAATCAGGATGTAATTAAAGAAATAAGAGTTGATGTTACTTTTAGAATAATCCACTAATTTCTCTAAATGAAACATTATCTACAGATTTTTATCGAAGTGTTTTTTATGATAGTGATTTTAATCACTGTCAGATATCATCTATACTTGTCCCATTTATGCCTCATCCACACTGTGCCTCGACCCCACTGTGTTACCGTTTTTTTATTATTATCATCTTTTATAATTGTTCATATCGGTTTATGATAACTAAAATATAATAAAATGCAAATTCTTTATGATAAAACAGATATACTAGATTGAAATCGTTACATTTATCAGTGTCAATGATTTTTTCATGCGTTCACTCTTATTTTTTTCAAGCGATGACACGCACGCGCACGTATATATAGAGTGTTTAGTATTAAGGGAGCGAATTTCTATTGTTTCTCATTGTTTGTAACAATTGATCTGTTTCCTTAGTTACTGAACACTGTATACAAAAAGAATGTATGTGTATAAATATACAATTGACAGTGTCGCTAACTCGTTTCACCTGTTTATTCCAATGAAATCCATAGCCCTTCGAGAGATGTTTTCACTACAAAAAATGTTTTATTTTCCTAATTTATGTACACTATGTTAGGTAACATAATAATTAAAAATTTATTATTTTTAAATTATATACAATAATAATTTAAAATCTAAATTATAATTACTTGATCAACAGATTCTTTAGATAACTTCCATATTGGTATACTTCTCAGGTGACTCATTATTGTTTTACTCTAAAATAATTAATTAATTTAATGTAATAATAAAGTTATTTCCAACATAAAAAGCAGTTTCTAAAAATAAAAAAGTTAATCGGATTTAGCTTTTACTTATTTTTTAATTTTTAGATTGTTGAAACAAATGTTAAATGCAAGTTTGACTTTCATAAAAAGTAAATTTTATCTTAAATTATTTAGGGTGTTTTTAATTAGGAAAATATACTAAGTTGCTTCGTATTTGTTTATGATTAATATGATTAAAATGGGTTTTACATTAATTAAAATAAAAAAGTGTTAATTAAAGTATTATTATTATTCGTGTATTTTTATTGAATTATTAATGTTTCTTATTGTAGAATAAAAGAG